TGTGTGAATGGGACAGAAGAGACTACGCATTACGCAACACGCAAATTACTTCTGGGAAAACTAATTAGTTTAATGAGCGGTTACACAAACAACGCTTTTCTGAGAAAAAGAAACGAGGTGAGGAGAAGAGAGAGAAATCTGCAGCAGCTCGACTCGACGAAAGCATCACCCTGTGGTTCAGATACAAATTATTATTATTAGGGGTTCGAGCACGAAGTGCTGAAACCCTATTGTAATTGTTAGGATTTTTATTAGGGGTTCGAGCACGAAGTGCTGAAACCCTATTGTAATTGTTAGGATTTTTATTATTATTATTATTATTATTATTATTATTATTCTTCCCTAAAACTGAACGGGCAGAACAAACCGTAAGGCCTAGAGAGCTGAAACTTTGTCAAAAGGTAGTAGTCATGCTCGCTACTCAGGCGCAAAGAGCCGGCCCAATCGGCCAATAGGTATATTTATTATTATTATTACATTGGGTTCATATGACCCTAAAAATGTGTTTTCTGTTGTACTTGTAACATGTATTTGTTCAACTTTTAATTCATTGTTGTTGAATTAATTAATTACACATTAACTAAACCATTAAAAAGGAATTCAGAAAAATGAAAAAAAAAAAAAAAAAAACGCACAATTTGGTAAAAATACAACAATTTAAAAGAAAAATAAAATGTATTTCATAAGGTGCTAAAAATTTATTTTTTGTTACATTTTGAATGAATTGTTGTTAAATTGTTTAAGCTCATCATGATTTCAATTAATTAGACATGCTTTCTGATTATTAAAATTTAATTAAACCATTAAAATAGAATCCAGAACAATTTAATCTGAAAACACAGAATTTGGTAAAAATAAAACTGAATTTGAGAAAAAATAAAATGCATTTCATATGGTCTTACAAATGTTTTTTTTTAAATAAATTTTCTTTTCTTTTAATAAACTGTTGTTAAATTGTATTTTTAAGTTTCATGATTTCAATTAATTAGACATGCTTTTTGATTATTAAAATTTAATGAAATCAAGAAAAATTAAAACCAAAAACACAGAATTTGGTAAAAATAAAACGGAATAATATGCATTTCATATGGCCCTAAAAAGGTTTTTTTTGTTAAAATTTTAATTGCTGTTAAACCGTATAAGTTTCATGAGTTCAATTAATTAGACATGCTTTCTGATTACTAAAATTAGTAATGAATCCATTAAAATGTCCAGAAAATTTTAACTAAAAACAGAATTTGTAAAAAAAAAAAATAATAATAATTTGAGGAAAAATAAAATGTATTTTGTAGGGCGTTATTTTTTTTACTAATAATAATAATAATTTTTAAAATAACTTTTATTAAATTAAAACAGAAAAAAATTGAAATTGGAGGAAAAAAACAGAATTTAAAAATTAAATTGAAGTGATATGTATTTGACGGCACTGACACTATTAGATGAGAACAGAGCTCGATCTGAATAGAGAGCTGAAAGTGAAACGACACGGATGCGATGAAGGAAACAGACGAATGAAGCTCCCAGAGGAGCGCGCTCCGATCCGTGGGGACAGCAGGAAAGTCCCGCCATCCTCTGGAGTCTCTGCCCACTTCAGAGGACCGGAATCCACCCAGAAACACACACACACACACACACACAAAACCCCCTGTCCCACACTCACACCCACCGTGCGTTTGTTTCCATCACAATGAGGAGTCACAGGGAAACTCGGCCCTTATAATGACACTGGTACTTTCCACACACACACACACACGCACCTGCGGACACGCCCGCCGCGTAACCCGAGAGCCGCTCACCTGTGCAAACACACGCACAATCACAGCACACAACACAGCTTTGTAGTAAAGTTTATAGAGTTAAAATACTGAGCGTTACATCCATCGAGCACAAACGAGACACTGCTTTACACGAGTGAGGACACGACCATCAAACGCTATTTACACCAATCAGAGAGCAGAACACAAGCGGAGGCGGAGTCACGAAACGTCCCGATGAAGCAGCACTCATCATCATCATCTGGAAGCTTCCAGTCCATCAGCTCTACTTCAAACTATAAATTAAAGGGACAGTTCACCCAAAAATGATCATTCGGTCATCGTTCACTCACCATCAAGTTGTTTCAAAACTGTATGAATATTTTGAAGAATGCTGGTAAACAAACAGCTGTTGGTCCCCACTTCAGAGGACCGGAATCCACCCAGAAACACACACACACACACACACACAAAACCCCCTGTCCCACACTCACACCCACCGTGCGTTTGTTTCCATCACAATGAGGAGTCACAGGGAAACTCGGCCCTTATAATGACACTGGTACTTTCCACACACACACACACACGCACCTGCGGACACGCCCGCCGCGTAACCCGAGAGCCGCTCACCTGTGCAAACACACGCACAATCACAGCACACAACACAGCTTTGTAGTAAAGTTTATAGAGTTAAAATACTGAGCGTTACATCCATCGAGCACAAACGAGACACTGCTTTACACGAGTGAGGACACGACCATCAAACGCTATTTACACCAATCAGAGAGCAGAACACAAGCGGAGGCGGAGTCACGAAACGTCCTGATGAAGCAGCACTCATCATCATCATCATCATCTGGAAGCTTCCAGTCCATCAGCTCTACTTCAAACTATAAATTAAAGGGACAGTTCACCCAAAAATGATCATTCGGTCATCGTTCACTCACCATCAAGTTGTTTCAAAACTGTATGAATATTTTGAAGAATGCTGGTAAACAAACAGCTGTTGGTCCCATTGACTTCCATTGTATTTTTTCCCTACTATGGGAGTCAATGGCTGCTGTCAACTATTTGGTTACTAACATTCATCAAAATATCTATTCAGATTTGAATCCTGTGGAACATCTTGTATGAATTGTTACACATGACAGAGAATATTTTGGACCCCATTGACTTCCATTGTATTTGTTCAACAATATATTTTTTAAATAGCTGCTGGTAGCCATTGACTTCCATGGTATTTTTTTCCCTAGTATGCCTAGTATGG